TAGTCTCTTTCTGTCCCTGTCTGTGCTACCTCCTGCCCAACCCACAACAGCATAAAAAACTGCAGATGCCACCACAGAATCATAAAATGTCCAAAGGAGTGTCCTGCACACACCAAAGGACCCCAGTCTCCTCAACAAGTGGAGGCGGCTCTGGCCCTTCCTGTACAGGGCATCTGTGTTGTTGGTCCAATCCAGTTTATTGCTGAGGTGGACACCCAGGTATTTAAAAGTGTCGACAATCTCAATACTTGAGCCCTGCAAGCTCACCAGCGTGAGTGCTGGTGATTTCCACTGGGGGTCAATCACCATCTCTTTTGTCTTGCTGGTGTTCAGGACCAGGTCCAACAATAGCAGTGTCGTCTGAGAACTTTTGTAGATGACACTGGTGGGAGTTGTACTTGAAGTCCGATGTGTAGAGGGTGAACAAAAAGGGGGAAAGCACCGTCCCCTGTCCCCCTACCACATCCGACACACAGTCCCGCAGCCTTACGAACTGAGGTCTGTTTGTGAGGTAGTTTATGATCCATTCAGACAGGTGTTGGTCCACACCTGCCCCCTCCAACTTCCAGCTCAGTCATTTGTAGCTTTCATGTTGGGTGCTCTACAAATGTTCAGCTTTTGTAGCCAGGAAATTCATATTCATAATATCAACATATGGCAGAACATGAGGATAAATTATGTGAATTTAATTAACCAACAGCACATGAGAAGCATGAACACCCAGGTTTGATGTTTAATATTTTTTAGTGCAACATTTATTTCTGATGATCCTGAACTGATCAACCCCAGTGATTGTTCCTTCTGAGAAACTGACATCTAAAGAGCACATCAATGTCAATGACCTGTGGCTTACAAAAGAAACAGCCTATTCATCCATGGGTTTGAGCACTTTATGGCCTTCTTCGGCTACCATATCACGTTTAAGGCGGGGCTACGTGGATGACGCTTTGATTTGACAGCCAATGACAGGAAGAAGTACTTGTCAACCACCAATCGTTGTCGCTGTTTTTCAGGGAACGTTACACTTTATGTTGCGATTGCGCAGAAGTGTGCAGCGTGACACACGTGTGGAGGAAGTGCGGTGGCAGGTCTGTAGCAACCTCTACCTCACATTAGCAGCTAAACTGTGTAATTTTTATTCACAGTAAAATGTCGTGGCTCTTCGGCCTAAACAAGGGGCAGCCTGAAGCGCCACCTGGCCTCCCGGTTCAGCCTCCCCCGCCGGCCGGAGGGGCCGGCGGTGGCGGAGATAAACCCAAGGACAAATGGAGCAACTTCGATCCCACCGGGCTGGAGCGGGCTGCACAGGCGGCCAAGGAGCTCGACAAGTCCCGTAAGTGTTTAGGAGTATCGGCTTGCTCAGTGGGGGTCACCGGAATGAAAATCATTCCAGATTACAACATTATTACACACCGAAAATAATGATGCACCAGCACCCAGACCTCCTCTAGTTCACGGTGGCTTGAATGATTCAACGACTTATGTTATTAGATTGTTAACCCCCACCGACATTTAGCATCTGTTCTTGGTTATAACGTTATGCTTAATTTAAACTTTGTGAAATTCTTGTGGTTTGTGATGGCAACGCTATGCTGCACTCACTTTTATTCAGACAAAGGGAATGGGTTCAAAGGTCATCACCTTGCAGATAGGCTTGCACCACCCAAAATAAAGTTGTGCCGCACACATGTAAAGGTTCACCTTCATTATTCAGTATTAGGCGTCTATCTTAAGAGTTAACACAGGAATGAAAACCAGAAATTTAAAAACATAGACAGAGGACACAGGAGTCGGCTTCATTACGGTTTCATACTGTGATCTGTGAGCCAGAGCCACCAGGAGGGGTCAAGAAATGTCTTTCTGTAGAAGCCACATCTTTCAGCTCTGCATTGTTGTTTTTCCTGGCTCCTCTGTCCAGGACATGCCAAAGAAGCTCTGGAGTTGGCGCGTATGCAGGAGCAGACCACTCAGATGGAGCACCAGAGCAAAATGAAGGTACAGTGGACACTATTCACCTTTAACCTCACACACACTAAAGCCTTGATCTGCTGCAGGACACTGGTAGTTCTCCAGAGTGTATGAGTGTCAGTTTACATCAGTAGTCAGATGGAGAGAATAGAGGAAGAATGTACATAAGACATTTTATTAGAGCTTTAACATTGCTCTGCATTTTGATGGACATTAAAACAAATTTTGATTGAATAAGTAAAAGATTACTGTGATGGCATTATTGAAGTTGTTTTAATGTAGTTCATTGTATTTACTGTATATGGGTGTGTGGGTTCAAAATACAGAATTATCGCTTACAAAATGGAAGTCACATAAGTAAAGTCAATTACATTTACTATTAAGTTGCTACTAGTGAGGTCCAACCAAGCGATAGAAAGGATCTAACAGTTGTCAAGTGTGTTACGAGCTTTGACGCCATATGCATGTCATTGTAACAGGAGTATGAAGCAGCGGTCGAGCAGCTCAAAGGCGACCAGATACGAATCCAGTCTGAGGAGAGGAGGAAAACTCTGAATGAGGAGACCAGGCAGCATCAAGCGGTGAGCGGAGAACTGTATTTTGAAGTAAAGAACACTTATATGCACATTGCAGCAGCGAACTAGACCAGTTTGAGTTGTATGTTGTTGTTTTCTGTCCCACATAGAGAGCTCAGTACCAAGATAAGCTGGCCAGACAGCGATATGAGGACCAACTAAGGCAACAGGTGACGTTATGTCCTCCGTATCTCATATAAAATGCTTTGAAGTATGCTGCAGCACCAAACTGATGACGGTTTCTTTCTGTGCTATCAACAGCAAATCCTCAATGAGGAGAATCTCCGCAAACAGGAGGAGTCTGTACAGAAACAGGAGGCTATGAGGAAAGGTATAGATTGTTACATTAATGGCTGGACAGCATTAAAAGCTGTAGAGCTGTGCTTTATGTACTTTTTGTGTTGTGGATTTATAGCAACGATAGAGCACGAGATGGAGCTGAGGAACAAGAATGAGCTTCTGCGTATAGAGGCCGAATCTAAAGCTCGAGCTCGTGTGGAGAGAGAAAACGCTGATATAATCCGCGAGCAGATCCGTCTGAAGGCTGCAGAACACAGACAGACTGTCCTGGAGTCCATAAAGTAAGCCACGCTGACTTATGTCGTTTCACACAACAGTATTTATGACGCTGATGATTGGGTGTAGGGTGTTGATGGTTTTTGGTGTCCTGATTTATGTAACTAGTTGAAACAGAAGATGTTAAAGAAGTCTTTAAAACAAATGTCAGTTTTGTATGTTAAGTAACTGGTTAAACAACAGTTGTACCATGTCAGCACCCAAAGGCATGCTGACAGTTAATGTGTGTTTGCTTTTAGGACTGCAGGTGCTGTGTTCGGTGAAGGATTCAGGGCCTTTGTGTCAGACTGGGACAAAGTCACAGCCACGGTGAGATGTCCATCCACAAGTAGTTTAGTCGATGATTATATTAAAAATACACAGTAAGAGAGAGAATTTTCAATGATAAAGACAGACTGGGCAAACAAATTAGTTTTCTGAAATGAAACTTCTTCTTCTTTTACACATACCTGAACATGCAAGTATTATGCCACTGAGGATACCCAATAAATGTTTGGATGTCAGTATGGGCAAACAACAAATGGGTTTAAATTGAGTATTTTTCCTGATTCTTGAACTGCTTTTCTGTTTGAGCAGAGCCTAAACTGTCCCATCATGTCACCAGGTAGCAGGACTAACCCTTCTAGCTGTGGGAGTGTATTCGGCTCGGAACGCGACAGCGGTGGCAGGACGTTACATTGAGGCACGGCTCGGGAAGCCGGCACTGGTGCGAGAGACGTCCCGATTCACTGTGGGGGAGGCACTCAAGCATCCTGTCAAGGTAGTTAGTGCCTAACTCACTTTTTTTTTTTTTTTTTTTTTTTTACGGTGTGTTTACTGCTGATTATAATATGCTAACTCTAAATTTTCTGCCCCTCCTAAAACATTTAGCTGGCCAAGCGGCTGAAGAGCAAACCCCAGGATGCTCTTGAAGGAGTTGTGCTCAGTGTAAGTCGACATCTTTATAAAAGAATGCAACAAATATGCATTTTTAAAGTTT